CGACGATAACAGCGCGATTACGTACCCGGCCGGTCGCACACGGAGGCTTATCACCACCGCCGACGATGGCTACGGATACGCAACGCACCGCTACACATCGCACGAAAATGATAACAACAACAAAAATTACACAAACATAATCACATTTAAATTAACATCAACATACTCCCCCCCTTTGAAAGGGCTCAGAACTTTCAAAAGACATAAAAATATTAAACATAGAAGAGAACAATAAATGATACTGATACAACTAGTTGAGTAGTAATACATCCGTATAGAAATAAATAATAAAAAATAATCGAGTAGTTAATCCGTGTCCTCCTCCTCGATGCTGGGAAGCACTGCAATCTTAGATGTTGGACGCTGAAACTCCCTACCAACCGAGTTAACAACAGTGACCACACGAACAACTCCATCAGCTCCCGGATGGACCTTGATGATTCTAACCATCTTCCACTTCATCGATGGTATATTATCTTCTTTTAGAATAGGTAGTGAACCGATCTTAACATTATCCTTTTTTGACAACCAGCAACCTCTTTTATGAAGTTGGGGTAGATATTCCGCGCTCCACCTCTTCCAAAATATTTGAGCTTGTACATTAACCAGACCCCATCTTTTGACTCTATTAAGTGGTATCCCAGTGCTATCAGGTTCAGCTGGTAGTGTTAAGCTTCCTCCAACTAAGAAATGGCCCGGGGTCAGTGCGTTCAGGTCGGAAGGATCATCGGACATTGGTGATATTGGACGAGAATTTAATACGACCTCTATACGGCAAAGCAAGGTATTCATCTCCTCAAACGTTAGAAGACTCATTGTGTTTATCTTTAACAAATGCCTTTTTGCTGATTTTACAGCCGCCTCCCATAGACCACCAAAGTGGGGTGCGGAAGGGGGTATGAAGTGCCATTGAATTTTGAGATCTGATAGTGACTCTTGGATTGTACGTTGTCCCTCAACTCTTTGGAAATATGAGTGCAAAACCTTGTTAGCTCCCACGAAATTTGTGCCGTTGTCACTGTACATATGACTACAATAGCCTCGACGGGACAAAAATCGCATAAGGGATGCTAGGAACGCCTCAGTGGTAAGTCCACTAACCAATTCAAGGTGGACAGCATGGGTCACGAAACAAACAAATACAGCAATATAGCATTTAATGCTGACCACTTTACGTATGCCACTACGAATTAGAATCGGTCCACAAAAATCAACTCCAGTCTTGGCGAAGGGACGTTCAATATTGACTCTTTCACGTGGAAGTGGTGCCATGAATGGAGCAATCAGAGATGGGCTGGAGCGAAAGCAAACTATGCAGCGCCTGACAGTTTGATTAGCAATAATTCGACCTCGAATTGGCCAGTAATGGAGGTGAATGTTGGCCAACAATCCCCGAGGGCCAATGTGAATTAAACGTTTGTGTTCATACTCGAATATCAATCGTGTTACTGTACACTTAGCTGGTAATACAATAGGACATTTGCTAGTATAGGCAATATCAGCATTAATAAGGCGGCCTCCTACTCGCACTAAACAATCTTCATCAATAAATGGGTTTAAGGCACGCAGTGCACTACGACGTCCAACGGGCCTACCGGCCTTGAGTTCAACAATTTCTGACGCAAATGAAGTGGACTGTGCTTTTCGGATTAATACCATGGCAGCATTGGTTAATTCAATTACACTTAGTGAATTCAATCGTCGGTCAGGAGTAATTTTGGTACGAGCATTGTGACAAAACCTCAGAATGTATGCTGCGATACAGTTCATTCTGGACCAAGAAGAATACTTCTCCTCGAATTGGTATTCTACTGGTTGAATTGCTAATAAGACGGGACGTATGATTTTAACTTCGGGTAAATCTGTAAGGGTGGCAATATTGGATGGCCACAAGTCTTCGGAATGGGCCGACCATTTAGGACCGTTCCACCAGAGCTCATTTGACAACAGTGATTCAGCGGAGCATCCTCTTGAAATTACATCTGCAGGGTTACTTGTAGTTGGTACATGACGCCATTGAGAGGGCTGGGATAATTCCAATATCTGTGCTACTCTGTTGGAGACATAAGACTTGAGCGGTTTGTCAGTATTGATCCAGGAAATCACAATAGATGAATCTGACCATAATATAAGATTAGCTGGGTCACAATATATTTTGATACGTTCCAGTTCTCTTGTAACCATGTTGATCAGCTCTGCCAATAGAAGTGCCCCGCAGAGTTCCAACCGTGGAACAGTAGCAGGCTTCAACAGAGCTACTCTTGACTTGGAACAATATAGATGACACTGAGATGTGATGAGCGAACGGAAGTAGACACAGGCACCAAAGGCATTTTGTGATGCGTCACAAAAGCCATGCAATTGCACTGATGTAACATTATCAAATGGAACTCGACGTGGAATCGATAGTTGTTCAAGAGACTGGAGACTCTGATAGAAATTTGTCCATTTGGTTTGCAGATCAGGGGATAACGGTGTGTCCCAGTTTAACTTTGAAGACCACAAATGTTGCATGAATATCTTTCCTCGAATCAGGGCTGGTGTTAGGAATCCCACCGGATCATATACACTATTTATGTTAGAGAGTAATGTCCTTTTAGTCATGTGCAACGGCCTTGACAAATCCTTAAAAACAAACTTAAAACAATCATTACTTGGCTGCCAAGTGAGACCTAGCGTGCTGACAGTATCTTCCTCATTAATTGACAGCAGGTAAGTAGGATCACTTTCAGGAATGGACATTTTTGACATTATTAATTTTGAATTGGAGCACCATTTTCGAAGAGGTAGGTTGGCCTTGTTGAGTTCGTTTGATAGATTTTGAAATAATTCATAACACTCAGCTTCATCTTGACCACCACTCAGTAAATCATCAACATAAAAGTCTTGTTGGATAGCACGCTGTGTTGCATGATTGGTGACGCTGTAACTCAGCTCAAGCAAACATCTAGTGACTAGGAAGGAAGCGGCCCTAGTCCCATACGTTACTGTTAGTAGCCTATAGTCTTTCAATGGATCAGCAGGGCTTTCCCTATAGCATATTCGTTGCATGTCACAATCTTCTGGCGAAACCCGTATCTGCCTGTACATTTTGGCTATATCGGCGGTAAGAGCGACTTTATGCATACGAAATCTTAAGATAATAGATATTAGCTCAGGTTGAACAGTCGGTCCACATAACAATATATCATTGAGACTATGACCGGACTTAGTGGCAGCAGACCCATCAAAAACAACACGCATTTTTGTAGTTAAACTGTTTGATTTAAATACAGAATGATGGGGAAGGTAATAAGTAGGACCATCAGTTTTATGAGCCAACTCCATGTGTCCCAATTCAAGATATTCGTTCATGAATGTTTTATAATCTGCAGCCAGTGTTGGGTTTTTTGACAGTTTGCGCTCAAGATTATAAAATCGTTGCTGAGCCATAAATCTTGAATCACCCAGCACTGATGGGTCTTGAAGGAATGGTAATTTTACAACAAATCGACCAAGATTGTCACGAGACACATTACATTTAAAGTGATCTTCGGCCTTAATTTCAGATGAGAACTTATTCGAGTAGGTCTGGGTGAACAACGCTATAGCTGATTGATTGCAATTACTTGAAAATAAACTATTTGGAGGTGATAGCATTGTGTTAATTGGAATTGATCCGGCGAAAATCCAACCAAGATTAGAGTTGTGAAGAGTAACAAGCGGACTAACTTTCATTTTTTCTCCAGTAAATAACTCAAAAAATACCTCTGCTCCAAGTAAAATATCAACTGAAGCTGGTTCATTAAAATGAGGGTCAGCTAAACAATCACTAATAGTGTGTGGAATATTTAATGGTTCTATGTTAATGCAATGACTGGGCAATCTGTTGGTGATAGAATTTATGACATGGAAGTTGATAAATGCTTTAAAACCATTTATTCTGGAACACATTGTAGTACTAATCATGGTGCCCGTCTTGGTAGTGATTGACCCTATGCCTGCTATAGATATTGAGCTATTGACAACATTTATTTTTAGTCTGGATGTACACTCTCTGGTTATTAGGCAAACTTGAGAACCAGAATCTAGAATTGCACGACACTGAACTCGTTGCCCAACTGCATTCTCTAAATTAACTAGGGCAGTAGCTAATATGATCTGCTTAGTAACGTTGGACTTGTTATCTTGTTCGACGTAGGCTACAATAGACTGTTCCTGTGACGATGATGACGGTTTATCCACCGGGTTATGATAATTCAATGGTGCATCGTTATGTAGTTTAGTGTTGTGCCGTTTTCCACATTTATTGCAGTTATCGCCACGGCATTGACGGACTTGATGGCCAGGAAATAGACAATTATAACATAGCTTGTTTTTGAAAACTATATCTTGGCGCTCAGGCAGAGATATTTTATTAAATACGTCACAGCTTGATACACGATGCTGCTGAGAACACACCAAACATTTTCTATCTTTAAAGGGTGGACTATCAGTTTGCTTGGTAAATAGAACTTTTTTTTGGACTGGACGAGTACCAATAGACAAATGTTTATACTGGGTTGACTGGTTACCTGCTTCACCAACTTCATAGGCTGACACACGATTTGATAAGAACTTTTCTAAGTCACTAAATTTAGGAAGATTTTTGGTTGACTGTAATAGTTGCCATTCGCCGACGGTGGTTGGGTCCAATCTGCAACACAACAAGGTTACCAGCCATGCGTCCCACTGCTCCACCGGCTGATCAAGTGCCTTCAGAGCATTGACTTGTTATACAACATGGTGATGTAGTTGCCGTAACTCATTGGCAGCAGGCTTGTGCACTTGCGGTGTTTGGAACAACGAACGTATATGCGACTGGATAATAAGTGACCTGTTCTCATATCTTTCAACTAGAGCATTATAGGCTGTGGAATAATTAACATCAGTTGTTGGAATGGTACGCCGCAGCAGGACCGACCAGACAAGATTTCAAATAGTGTAAACGCTGTACATCAGATAATCCTTGGTTGTAATGAAACATAGCATTGAATGCGTCAAGGAATGATACCCATTTTTGTAGATCACCATCAAAGGTAGGAGCAGGAATGAATGGCAGTTTCATGGAATCCCGAATGATAGGCTGCGATGGTGTACTTGAGGTGTTGAATGGAACCTTAGAATAGCGCTCAATTATATCTAAAATCTCAGCTTTAAGTGAACAGAAAAAATCATCAACACCAGTCCTGTGATCTAGCATTTCAACCGTAACTGCTGTATGATTTTCAATATCATCTTGACAGGATTCATATTTGGACCTGTATTGCATTAGACTGTCCAGTCTAGTTTGAAGTTGGTTCAGAGATTTAGTAGCAGGGTCATACTTGTCTATGAATGTTTTAATCGAGTCCATAGACCTTTTGGCAGAATCTCTTTTGTTGATCATCTTTGCTAACTCGGGAGGAAGTCGTTCGTCGTTGACTCCCATCTTGATAGAAGAGTGAAGATTTTACAATTGTATAATAATATAAAATGACGCACTAGTGATGGAACTAATTTACATATAATAATCTACAAACGATACGCCATTAATGTATAATAAATAATTGACATCTAATTGATAATAAAAATAATTTTTTGTATTAGACTAGTAATATGTCACAAATTAGGACCCTGATTAACAAAATACAATGTAATTTACCAATAAAAATCTAATAATCAATGCCAAATATAGATAATAAAATGAATAAATATATTTTTTTTTTTTTTATAACATGAACGGCGCATATATAAGGCTTAACTGTCAAAACTTGATAACAAAAATGAATAGTGCGTTTACAAATCACAAAATATAGGTAAGATTGATTACTAAATAACAATATTATAATAATTAAAAAATATATATAACAGTAACTGCTTATTGCATAAAGGCAGTATAATAGTAAAAAATTAACAGTAACCAACACAAGTGAAGTTTCTTAATATAATACAATTTAATCACGTCGAGGTCACCAAAATGTTGGCGCGGCAAGTGTTTTAAATAATATAGAACATACTTGTTCGCCATAAAATAAATTAAACATAAATTGAATAATAAAAACTGTATAATTGAATAATTAAATAATTAAATAAATATGTGGCCCTACAACGGCGCAACAATAATAATAAATAATTCAAGGGTGTGGCCCACACGAAACAATAAATAAATATACAATTATATATAATAATAATAATGCCCTTGGCGGATAGGCCCGTCGGCCTTAAACAAATAAATAACACAAATATGGTCGACCAATACTCACAATCACCAACGAAGTCTACAGCGCTGACGAAGAACAAACACGATGAAACCACGTTTTGCACAATGGCTGTTGGCAAGTGACCACCCTAGAATATGGGACAATTAATGAAAGGCAATACAAATTGCGCTGAACGACACTTACCAAACAGCCGACACGATACAAAACAAAAACACAGAAAAACGTGGTTTGAAGAAGATGGCTGTAGACCAACGCCCGAAACAGCAGCAGAAAGAATTGGTGTGCACACCACGACGAACACGAACAGAGAGCAAGCTGTTGCCGACGACATTCAACACGAAGGCTCAGGTCGCCGAACACCACAATGAAGATAAATGTCTCAGTGCCACCACACTAAACCAAAAATACACGAGAACTTACGAAACTTTGGCACTGAAAACATGACTTTTACTTTTACAAAAACATAACCGACAATATGAAGAAAACGTGGAATAACGGGCATTTACGCGCGACGATAACAGCGCGATTACGTACCCGGCCGGTCGCACACGGAGGCTTATCACCACCGCCGACGATGGCTACGGATACGCAACGCACCGCTACACATCGCACGAAAATGATAACAACAACAAAAATTACACAAACATAATCACATATTTAAATTAACATCAACACTTATATTTGGTGAACCTGATTTCCCCTGCCATAAACAAGCGAGATACAAATATGAGAGAGTGCGTAATGCCAAGAAACGGATATTAATTACACTCAAGTAAGTAACTTACTTTTTTATCTACTTAATGCAAATGTAGACACTTTATTAAAATGAGTAACATTTATCTATATCATAAGCATATTAGTAATATTTTTATAGCAATAAACATATCATTTTTTTTTCTTATATACGAAAACATTTTAATAATTTTAAAAAGAACATAAAACAAAATATTATACTTATTTCTGTTGGTTTACTTCGTACAAGGTTTCATTAACTGCTTCATAGTAATTTTCAGAACTATTTTGGTTTATAGTTTGGTATGTGTTAGGTTGAGAGGTTTCATGAGCATTTTCATTCTGAGATATCAGTAGAATTTGTTGATCTGTTGAAGGCGTTATGGATGAAGACGTGAATGAATGAATAGGTGTGAATGCCGAATTGTTTGACAAAATGTCATCAACCATCTGAAGTGATTTACGCTTGAACAGTCGTACTTCTTCATCAGACTTTTTCAAAAGATCAGGTAGCATACTAAGAAGAAAAAATGTTTAAAGATTCTGCTTTTGAATCCTGGTTAGCATTGACTGAAGAGTTCTCTGTTCTGGCTTTTTTTTTTGCCTGGAAATATTCTAGAAATGCTTTGTCCACTGCTTCGTTTTTTAATCCACGTTTTTTGTTTGACACGTATGATGGTGAAGACTCAAATTGACTCAGAGTTATGTTATTACTATTCTTTTGGGAGTTTTTAGAGTCAGTAGTTGAAAGTGTGTATAATGATTTAGAAGGCAATGGCGGAGTTGGCGTAAGATGTGGTTGAAATGGTGAAGATTACTGTGGGTCAAGTTCGGAGTTAAAGTTAATTTCTTCAGATTGTTCAAAACTTTCCTTCTGTTCTGGGGGATTAGGAAGATTTCCAAAAGGCATACCTAATGCCTTAATATATGGAACTGTAAACTGCATAGCTTCAAATAAATAATATGCTTTTTTTGGTTTTGCTCCAGAACCATTTGGTGCTGGTTTCATGTTGCGCACAAAAACAGCACGAAGGTTCTTTCACTTATCTTTGCATTCAGATACTAAAAAAAGATAAAATTTGGAGTATACATAATTTGTAATAACAATCTAGTTTTATACTATTATTTTTACGCAAACCCGATTTACTACATCCCCCCCCCAACCACTTGTAATCTACTGTATAGCAGAGAGATACCGACTTGACTACCTTTTTATGATCGTTTCTTTCATTTTACAGATACTTGAGTACTGGTGGGTCATTTGCGTCAATTGCTGTTTATTTTGGTAGAGGAGAATCTAAAGTTGGCGGAATTGTGACTGAAACAGTAAAAGTGATTTGGGAAGTGTTGGAAAAAACATTCATGCCAATACCAAGTACAGAGCAGTTGAAGGGAATAGCAAAACGTTTTGAAACACTTTGGAATCTCCCAAACAGTATAGGGGCCATCGATGGCAAACATGCAAGAATTGAAAAATATTCAAATAGTGGTTCTTCTAATTTCAATTATAAGTCGTGTCATTCTATGGTGTTAATGGCTTGTTGTGATGCTGACGGGTTATTCACTTTAAGACTGGAAATCAATAACGGGCTAAGTGCCAAAAAAATAAAAATTGAGTTAGACTCGAAAAACCGAGCTATGTACCATCGCCAACAACCTGTAAAGAGGGCTATGTGCCACGACCATAATATTGGTGAACAAAAAGACCAAACCAATGTCGTGAAAGCTATGTGCCGGGTGTGGTTATAACGGGCTAAGTGCCATTGCATGGTGATAAAGCCCAAAGAAGTAAATTCACAGCAGCAGATGTGGATCTTGTTACTGAGCATATTAACTCTTTTCCGAGGGACGAGAGTCATTATGGGAGGAGAAAAATTTACAAGGAGTATTTAAGTCAAGATTTAAATATCAACAGGCTTATACCTTGCCTACAAGGAAAAATATTCAGACTCAAACGTAACGTATAAGTTTTATTATAAAACCTTTAAAACAAAATCCCGCATGTTTCATTTCATCGACCACGCACTGATACTTGTTCCAAATGTGACTTACTATCAGCAGAGATTTAGCAAAACCTGGTGATAGAACAACAAAAACCGATTTACAACTAAACCATAGAAAATCTGAAAAAGCTAGAGAAGTAATGAAACAAGATACTATATCATCTCAGCTCCCTACTAGTAACGAATCAATGTGTTCAATAGATCTTGAACAAGTTCTGTCTCTACCGTTTTTAACCCATGGCCAGATGTTCTATTCACGTCAGCTTTCATGTTTTAATCTATGTGTTCATGTTGGTGACAACAACGAAGGGCTCATGTTTTTGTGGCATGGGGTATGAGTGGACTAGGTGGTAATGAAATCGCTTCATGCCTCTTTAACGCACTCACTAGTCCTGCTCATAATAACATCATGAGTAAAAGAATACTTACCGTGTGGTCAGATAAATGCATAGGACAAAATAAAAATAAAATTATGTTATTTCTTTGGATTTATTTGACGATTATAGGCAAGTATGATGAGATAAACCATAAATTTTTGGTTTCTGGCCATTTATATTTGCCATGTGACAGGGATTTTGCCCAAATCGAGAAACGCAAAAGGGTTGAAAAATGCCAAGTTCCTACGGACCTGATTAAACTTATGGTGAATGCTACACCGAATAATCCTTTTATAGTTACTATGCTCCAACCTGACGACTTTATTGATTTTAAACAAGCAGCCGATTTATACATCAACACGACAAAACTAAACATTTCCAAACGCAGTTGGATTAAAATTGAAAAAAACGGAGTCGTTAAGACGAAAACAACTTTCAATGAACTTGAAACATGAAACACCTGCAAGGTTCTCAAAAAAGGGATTACAACTCAAAAAATTAAGGACTCAATTTTACCAACACTTCCGTGTCATAACAGTATATCTGCCGAAAAGAAGAGGGACCTGCAACAGATGCTCCCGTATTTGAAGGAAGAAAATCGAGCGTTCTACGAAGAATTAATTAAATAATTATAATTATAATTATATAATCATATTAAATTAATTTGTATGTAATCTTAAAAATTAAAATTCTTTAAATTTATCAAAAAAGCTAGATACTTTGTTCATTGGTACTTATCTCATTTGTGCCGGTTAAATGTATGGCACATATCATCTTCTACATTTTTCTGAATAAAATATTATTTTTAAGATACAAGGGGAAGGAAATTCAATATTATTTTGCAATAATTATATCAAACATAATCTAGATTATAAATAAAAGTTTGGTTTACGTTTTTTTATCAAAAATGTTTTGATAAAAAAAAAAAAAATTAAATAACTCAAAAACCACTTTTTGGCACTTAGCCCGTCTTGTTACGTGCCAACCGATCGATCTGATAATTTAGTTTCAACGTCTCAGTCAACGCTTGGTTGTAGGTGTAGTAAGGAATAATTTAGACTTTTTAAAATAATTAAATTTATTTAACTCATAAAATTATCCTAACTACAATTCTGT